GCTGAGCTGAATCAGCGTGGTGCTGGGTGTAGAGGGACCACCTGAGGATTGTTGCCAACAACATGAAAAAGAGAACTAGAGAGGAAGAAATGGTGCAGTTGGTTCTGTTGGAGGAGCTTGTCATGCTGGCTTTTCATGTCGGTTGTTCTCACTGTCAAGAGGAGCTCAGGTCCTTGCTGTTGCTGAGGATGGCTGCAGTTCTTTTTGGGGAGCGGGGGAAGTGCTGGTCCTTACTTTGATCATCTATCTCTTCCTGACTCCAGTGCAGATCCCTTAGCCTGCTGGCACAGATCCTTCATCCCACTGGCATAGACTTTCAAGCTTCCACTGACCTTGGGGCCTTCCTGGTGTAGGTCCTTGATACAGACTCACATGAGGCATTGTCATGGCCTGTAGGCTTCCAGCTGGACTCATGGAGGACACTGTCATAGGATCCACGCCCTAAGTGAGATTCTTTGGGTCTCTAGTGTGTGGACAGATCTCCTGAACTCTTTTGCATTTGACTCTTTGGGTGAAAATTATAAAATAATTCTATAAATTATGTGTCCTGCATTAAATTGTTTCCCTTGAAAACCCTGACTATAACATGTACTTTTACTTCTGGAGCACAAATGGGTATTACAGCCGATGAAGGTGCAGCAAAGCCTGTTTTCAGTTTCCCAAACAGCAACAACAGTTCCTCCGGTTCAAGCACACCAGCCACTTCAGCTGGTGGTGGCATACTTGATGGTGTCACCTCTTCCTCCATTCTACTTGTGGCGGCCTTTGTGTTTGAACAGGACAGCAAGCCTGCCTGTGAGCAGCTCTCCCCTGCACTACCCTGCTCAGTCCTGTCTTTCTTAGTCTTTGCTTTTTTCTCAGGATAGCAAATGAGCAGCCACATCTAGCACAGCTATAGCTGTCACCCCATCTGCCTTTGAATCAGGATCCAGCAGTAATACTACTGCAACCTCGGCTTTCAGCTTGGGAGGCACACCCACTTTTAGCACTGCAGGATCCTCCCTTGCATGTGGCACTGGATGGTCAGTGCCATCTTCTAGGCCAGCATTTAGTGCTCACCAGACCATTAGGAAAAATCAAGGGGCCAGACAGCCTAGTGAACTGAGCTTTGGATCTCTATTGTCCTCAACAGCATTATTTTCTGGTGGTTCTCAGCCTGCACCACCTACTTTGGGCACCATGTCCAACAGAAGCCAGCCTGCTGTATTTGGACAACAACCTAGTCAGTCTGCATTTGGCTCTGGAACAGCCCCCGATTAAGTTTCAGTCCCCGCATTTGGCAGCAGCACTACAAATCCCAACATCACAAAAAATAATCCATCAGGAGCAGTCACATCTGAGGCCAGTCTTTGCACACCTGCAGCCTCAGCTCGGCCTTTGGCCCATGAGGCGGTGCATCTACTCCATCTGCAGCAGCAGCATTTAGAGTGGAGTAAAAAAAAAAAAAGAAGATACGTCCTCTTCTTCTAGATCTTGTTTGTGGTTGCAAGGTAAATGCTACTGTTAAGGAAAGGCCACCATGATGTGATACACAACAGTTTTAACACAGCTGGTGCCCTTCATCCAGATCCTAGATTGTAGCACAAGCCGGGTTTATCTGAAGTCAGATGCCCAAAGGTTACTTTAATTTGGATTTCCCCCCTTCTTTCATTACACAAACACCTCCCCATCTCTCCAACCCCATTTACACACACACACACACACACACACACACACACACACACACACACAGTAGTAATTAGGCCAGCAAATGATTCTTCAGAAAAAGTATTTCAGGATCCAGCACATGATTCACTGATTTGTGATAGTCCAGCTGTACACAGGAATAGAGCCTCCGTGGTGAACAGCTTTATACACAAATTCAGCATCTGTGGTACTACGTGTGTTCCTAAGCATTCATGGGACACATTGATATTGTAATTATATCTGAGAAATTCTGTATACATTAGGATTCTACACAGATGAGAAAACACTGAAATGAATGATTTCTATGCCAAGTGTGTGCTGGGGTATGTGCAGAGATGGGTGTATTGTGTGCTAAAATTTTCTGACAGAGAAAGCCTGGCTGAAGCATGGTAAAGACATTTTGGATCTATCTGGGATCTTTTTAGATCTGATTCATTCTCCATGCAGGAATTATATGTTACTTCTATATTTCCATTTTTCCATACATAAATCTGAACTTAAAGTAAACAATAAACATTCTGAAAGGCCAGCTGGAAAAGTGTGAAAAGAGAACTACAGTGTAAATGTGTGTCTGACTAGATAAATCTTCCTCCTAAGACTTTCCCCACAGAACTCTCCTAGGTTGGGGCTGGGAGAGTGGGAATAGGACAGTAGGACATGAGGGGATAGGAAGGAAGGCAGGAAAAGAACAGAGAAGGGAATTTTGTTTCTGGCTCAGTAGTTCACGTTTCTGAATTTATCCTGTACAGTAACTTATTAACAGGATTCTTTGGGTCTCAATTCTAGCAATAAAACATCTGTTTAAAAAATTAGAATCATGTGAGTAAAAAGCATACTTATTTACCTTATATTATTAGATTGCAAATATACAAATTAGCAGAATACAGAGTATGCTATTAGCTTTATAGATAAAGTCCAGACAAAAGACTAGAAGAATATACACCAAAATATAAACAGGATGGACCATAGTTTTATTCTGATTAATGGTATTTTCTAAATTTGAGAGGTAATACACAGTATCTTTTGAGGAAAAATGCTATTTTAAAGAAATAATTATACTATACTGCAAACTTCTTGGAAAACATCATTGGGATAGGATAAAATCAAAGCACAACATCGGGTTGAAACAGGTACTATAATTTAATTCTTAGAAGACTCAAGAAACTGGAGAATTAAGGATGTAATTTAACTCCTAAAACAGAAGACTCAGGGAAGTGGAGAAAGGATAAAATCTCCAGAACTCTTTCCACTTAGGCAGAGCCAGTTTTTACAAGGTATAAAAATAACTATCAAGGCTGACTTTGCAAAGGCAGGAATCTCAATGAAGAACAGATTTCCAGGAGCAGCTAAATCTGTGCGGCCTTTCAGCACACAGGAATTTGCCATGGAATCCTGCAGTAGATGCACCTGCACCATTACAGTACTTTCGAGCATACAGGAAGTACTCAAAACTTCCTGACGGAAGGACCCCCTGAGTTCATGAGTATAGGGGAAGGCAATTTTCCTTTTGAAGGGTAGAATCCCACAAATTACAAGATACATGGGTGCCTGCAGAACAAATGGTACTGCTGGAACTACAATAAAAATGACCCTTAAAGATTCCAAAAAAAAGTATGACTTTTTTTCCCTCAAGTAATTATTCATGAGTCTTATGTGTCCACCAATACTGGTTAACTCTCCGTGCTACACAAACGTCGTAGCACCCAGGCAGGGAAGTCTTATTCAGCCCTACACGGAAAGATCAAAGAGAGGAAGTGTTTTGTAGCAGCAGATCAGGTTAGATTTTGGCCTCCTGTTAGAAACCGCTACTGAAAAAATTATTGGTTGAAATCCTAAGTATCACTCAAGAGGAGAAACGTTAGGTTTCAAACCATGACAAAAAGCAATCTGAATAAACCCACACACAAACCTTCTCTGGGACAAAATGCCCCAAACTCGAACAACAAGGTTCACAGTTTTTTGGGAGGATTCAGTCCATAGTTGCCTGGGTCTGAAGCTGCAGGAGGATGGCACAGGTGCTCCACCTAGAAAAAGCTGCCCCTCCCATGGCGGCCTAGAAGCAGCGTGTGAGCCTGGGAGGAGCTATACTCTGAGCAGGCGCCCTAGGGACACGTCACCTCCAATCAGTGCCGCCGCCTCAGCACATTCAGTTACACAACTCCTCAGTGGATGAACCCACTGCTAAGTACACCGCCCCCGTGATCCAATCACCTTCCAATACATTGAAGGTCATTTCAGATCTATAACAAAAGGTGTTTGGAAAACTGGACATACACATGCAAAAAAAGGAAAAACTAGACAGCTATCTTACATCACTTACAAAACTCAACTCAAAATGGATTAGACTCGAGTGTAAGACAGGAAACTTAGACTCCTAACAGATAATAGATAGACAAAGCTCCCTGACTTTGGTCTTGGTGATGAATTCTTGGATATCACACCTACAGCACACACAACAAAAGCAAAAATAAACAAGTAGGCCACTGTCAAACTAAAAAGCTTCAGTACAACAAAATGAAAAGGCATCCAATGAAATGGGAGAAAACACTTATAAACTATTAAGTGGTTAATATGAAAAATACTCCAGGGACACATATAGCTCAATAGCAAAGAAACGAAATAATCCGATTATCAAAGGATCTAATAAATAGGCATTTTTTCTAAATCAGGTATAAGACTGGCCAAGAGGTACACGAAAAGGTGTTCAACCACCACTAATCATGAAGGAAATGCAAATCAACCAACTTTTAAATGGCTTTTATAAAACTGGCTCCCCAGCAATGCCCCTCTAATAAATAGCCAGCGTTTAAAATTAGAACCACTCACTAAAAACCTAGGTCTTCAACTTCTCTGAGAAACCGGACTGGCTCGCCCTGAGCAGCGGAGAGGGCGCTCCAGCCCCAGGCGTAGGGTTCTGGCAGCCCAGCCCTGGAGGGAGCCGAACGTGCGACCCTGCACCCCCAGGCTTCGGCATAACGCACCCCGCGCTACCTGAGCGAAGGAGAAATGAATCCGGAGGGGCCGTGCGGAGTGCACAGCTGCGGGCTGCGGGTCCCGCGCCCGTCTCCGCGCCGCGCCCTCGGGCTCCGGGGAC